CAGAACTGGCGGTCAGTTTCAGCAGCGGCTGAATCTGGACGCCAGTTCCGACTTACATACAGATTCAACTTAAGAACAAACCTACAGTCCCTATCTTGTACGTAACCCGGGGACTGCATGTGGAGGAAATTGTGAAAGCAGGTATATGCAACATGCAGCCATGCATAGAATATACAAACTTCTAATCTTCTTGTTAAAGTAAAAAAGTAATTAAGAAATTTGAACTTAAAATGGTGTGCAGCATTTAAAATAGTCTGTTCTTTGGATTCTAAAATGTAGCATGCACATCTGTAGCTTTCTTTTCAATCAATTTCTGTCATAGAGTGGGAGGTGTAGGGGAAAATTCTTTACAATCAGTTCCATTCCCAGCAGATGAAACATTTGTTTGTAAATCTTCATATAAAGTCGTAGTTATACCATCAGTTCTCATACCCGAACAAGTAAATAAGAAAATACTGGTGGTGGTTTTTCATAATCTACAAGTAGCGATGTGGACAGGCTTGCTAAACAATTGTTTATAATTATTGTGTTTTGCATCTGCATTCACTTACAAATGACTGAAATTCATTACAGTGCGGTCATTAGAAGTACCAAATACTTTCATTGGTACAAAATGGGTGAAAGTATGGTAATTTTAATTGCAAACTTGTAAGTTTCTGTGGCAAGCCATGTTCCTTTATCATCTGCATTTCTCTTAAACTTGTCATGTAGTGGGACTTAGATATTTATATCAAAATCGTTAGTTACCCATTAGTTATGCCTGTAAAAGTAACAAATAATGCTATGGCAGCTGGCTTTTCCTTTATATACATACATGCTAGTCGATTTGCATAACTTAGGTTCTCTCTTGAGAATGTATGAATCTTTATAGTAAGCATTATGCCAACCATATATAGTTTAAAAAAAGGATGTGCATGAGAAAATTTCTTTACAAACTATGATCACATTTGGGACCTGAACTAGAAAGAGTAACTGAAAGGAAACAGATATCTGTTCAAGTGTTCTACAAGTTGAACCTCTCTAGTCCAGCACTCTCTGGTCTGGCAACATCCGTAGTCCAGCATATTTTTAGTTAACCAGATGTCCACTTACCATGGGTGTGGCCAAGTTTCCAGAAGTCCCATAAAGTTGTTTACAGCCACCAGTCTTGTGCAGTGTTCTGCGCTGATATTTAGCTCTAATTTACCCTTAAATGTCTTGGAGCTAAGTAAGCAGTGAAAGTGTTGGGAATGCTGTCTGACAGTATTGACCTTCTGCAGTTTGGGAAATTCTCTGGTTCGGCACCAGTCAGGTCCCATGGGTGCCGGACTACAGAGGTTCAGTCTATATTTCTATTCTTTTTGACAGAGCTTGAAAGTTCATTAGAAAAGGTTTCAGATGCATAAAATTCTGTCTATGATATGTTCCTGAGTGAGCAAGAGGTATTTGGAGGAATTTTACATTTAGTTCTAATCTGGGCATTTAAATCATGTACATACACAAACTGCAATTTAGAACTCTATAGACATTACAGTTGTTAAAAATAACTTATTTTCATACACACTCCTGATTTGAAATTAAGTTCATATTCTATGCTTCTCTGTACAGGTCAGAAGTTGAGGCTGTGCTTGCTATCCTGCTCTTTAGGTTTAAAGTATTGAGGGGAACTCTTTGTAGTGTTTTTGAGCACCCCAGTATAGATAACTCTTGAAACAGTCACAGTTGCTGCAGAAGGAATTGCAGTATTCTGATTACAAGAAAGCCCTAACTGGCTCCTGTCCTCCCACTTCTGATACAGAGGCAGCAAGAGGAGGGGGGAGTGTTTTTAGTTGATAGGATTAACTGATAAACCCAGGCTTATCGGTTAATTGTGTAGTTGACTACAGTTGACATCCCTAATTAAAACATACCCAAATAAGGCTTGGGGTTCTGAAGTTGCTGACTATATCTGCGCATTAATGTTTTAGCACATAACATTACAGAGATTATATTTATAAAATTTCTTCAGACTTGTTAGGGGACTAAACTCATGGAGAGGCAGAAACTGCTGGTTAAATTTTAAAGTTTTCCATAAAAACAACCACGAGTTCTGTGGCACCTTAAAGACTGATACATTTACTTGGACATAAACTTTTGTGAGCTGGAATCAACTTTATGCCCAAATATATTTGTTAGTCTTAAAGGTGTCACAGGACTTATCATTGTTAGGGCTTTTTTGTAATCATCACAGCTCATCTAAAGCACTCCATAATGTCAGCTATTCATTTTGTCCACTCTGAACAAGATATTTAAGCCTCTGTTCTTCAGCCAGTTATATGCATGTTTTAACTTCAAATGAGTCAGTAATCTTATTGACTTCAGTGAAATTATTCATGTACTTACGGTGCATAGGTGATTTCAGGAACATGCCAGTGTCATCTTCCTAAAAGTTTTCCCCTGCACATCTTAAGACACCAAATCAAACATAATATATCTTTTACAAATGTTCTTTGTATTTGATCTTTGTTATGAACTAAAAGTATTGATGTCTGTTTTTCAAAACACTTTGCCCCTTTGATTTTAAAGAACAGTAAATGATATAGAGGTTATTTTATACATGCTGTGTTGTGTGCTAGCCTTCACTTTGCACCTGGAGGCTTTTTCCTTGTGTCATTTGTACTAGAGATGTGAAAGGCTGACTGGTTAAACTGGGAGCTGCGTCCAGACTGGCATGATTTTGCGCAAAATCTTGCCGCCTGTCTGCACTGGCCGTGAGTATTTGCGCAAAAACACTGACTTTGTAATGTACAAAATCAGTGGTTCTTACGCAGATACTCTGACGCTCCCACTCAGGGATCAGCCCTCTAGTGCAAGTATTCTTGTGCAAGATGGCCAGTGTAGACAGCCACATTAATTTCTTGCACAAGAAAGCCCGATGGCTAAAATGGCCATTGGAGGTTTCTTGCGCAAGAGAGCGTCTACACTAGCACGGATGCTTTTGTGCAAAAACAAATTTTTTGCGCAAAATCATGCCAGTCTAGACGCAGCCTAAGCATCACGTTAAATGGGTGATGCTTGCCAATTCTGGGTAACCAGTGGGGATTGGAGCAACTGCTCCAGCCCTGCAGGGGGCATTCTGCGGACACAGGCTGCTCTCATCCATGATGGTCCAGATGCCTCGCAAGCAGGGGCTGCTCTTGCATCTGGAGCAGCTTCTGCCCACTGGGGGCCTGGGTCTGCTGCAGGTAGGGGCTGCTCCCACAGAAGCTGTCAGCAGCCCCAGCCCTAGCCCCAGCGCAGGAGTCGGGAGCCAGCCTGTATGGGAGTCCCGTGGTTGGAGCAGTCTCCTGCCCTCATCCTGCTTAATTAGTTAATGGGTTAAATGTTAACCTAACTAGTTACTTAATTAACCAGGGTTTTACATACCTAGTTTGAACATTGATCACTTAAAAGAAATCCTAGCTGACCAATATTAATCACACCCATTTAGTAGTGTTGGATACCTCAACAGGGATCATCCCAGTAGATACTATAGCCTGTCCACAGTATTGTTCAGAGCAGAAATTGCAAATAAGTGTCAAAACCCGATCTATATCTTTAAAAAATTAGGAGACGATAGCGCTCATACGGTGCCAGGGTGGAGCATGATATTCTGTGAACGAAAAAGCAAGAGGCCAGTGCAGCTAGCTGTTGAGTGGACTTCCTCCCATTGAGCTGTCAATGTGCCTCAGCCTTGAATTGGCAGTAACAGGTGTGAGGGCAAGAAGGTAGTTCATCTTTGCTCTGTCCATCTTTGGCCTTTCTAGTGAGACAGGGTTGTTACAGTTTTGCAACATTCACTAGAAAAGTTGAGATCAACTGCTCATTTAATACTGGCAGTCACTAAACTACTTTTAATTGTAGACATACAGGTGATAGAATGTGTATCTCCTTTGCAGACCTTTTCACCATCAAAGTGGATTCCCTTAAGATTTGTTATGCTGAAAGCCCCCATTAGGATTGGCTAGCACACATACCCTAGCTCATGCAGAATCCCACTGAAGTAAAAAGGATCCATACTAGTAGATCTTGATAAAATGTCTGGGCCATAATTTGTAAAGTAAATATAACTGTCTGTCAGAAGATTAAATATTGGTGATTATGTGATTTTAAAAAATGATACCACTGTAGTTATAGAAATCTCATTTAGGGCTGTGACTCCATTTAGATAAAGAAAAGTGGTAAATGTCAAAGTCTTATGTAAAATTTCTCTAAACATTTTTTGAACTCCTTGAGGGACAGCATAATTGCAAAACTTCAAAAATCTGAAACCCATTATTTTTGAAATGTGAAAATACTGCTTTTGGTTTGATATTTTTACATGTCAATATTGTATTATTTGGTTTGGTTTGGTTTTGTTGCTGGTATTGTATCCTTGCTACTCAGTAGCTTATCTTGCCTTTTAAAAGGACTTGTTCAGAGGAATTTTTAACAAATCTGCCTAGTAGCTTTAATACTAGAATGTTAAGACTCTTCAGAAACAAGCAACTCTTACTAATAACTTTTTAAAGCCTAAACTGTACAGGTCCGTAATTGAAGATGTCATCAATGATGTCCGAGAAGTTTTTCTGGATGAAGGAGTAGATGAGCAAGTGCTTGTGGAACTCAAAACAGTAAGTTGTAATAGGACTATAGTATTTGTAGCCCCATAATGTACTAAGTTGCTACAATATAGTGCTTATTGCTTCATGTAGTGTAAAAAAAAGAATTTAAATTTTCTAAGCAATGTACTCATCTCTTTGACGTGTGAGCTAAGATGCAGCTATGTACAGTATAATCTTTCCAAGCACATCTTACATATACTGTGAATTTGCTCTTTTCTCCACCTTCCCACATTATGCACTTTGCAGTATACATTGCACAACAATATATATATGAAGTTAACAACAGGAATCCTGTTGCAATGTGGGCTTTATGGGGATTTTAAGTATCTGAGTTCTTTAAAAAGGTAAGGTCATTTGTTTATTAAATTACCTGTAGCCAAGAGGTAACATTTTCCAAGATGGATCAGTTCTGGGTTAGGTGAATTGATTTAAATCTGAATGATTGAAATTGCTGATTTTTAGTCAGGATTTAAAACAGCAAGTGGGAATGAGTAATATATTTTAATTGAGTTTCACATTTAATCTTTTTGGTTATTAAAAAAAAATGGATTCTTAATGGTTTATAATCTTTAATACATGTTGATTTGCACCTAAATATGGCTTTTTTGCTAAAATGGGGTCGTCTTTGTGCTAAGCAGGAGAAAACACAGTATCTATGCTCATTTATTTACATGGTTCTATAGCTCATCTTACATTTATTCAGATTCTTAAGTTTAATATTTTATTATGTCAGAAAAAGTGAATGATGTATTTGTAAAATACTAAATGAATAATTTTTACTTGTGATTTATGTCAAGCTGTATTTTATTACAAATTCAAATTAAATTAAAAATGTATAAAGCCAGCATTTTATCATGTTGGTTAAATAAAGCTGCTTTAAATGTGTTTGAGTACATAAGAAATAAGGGCCAAATTAAATGGTAGTATTTGTAATAATTCCAGTCCCACAACATTAACTTTACACCTAGTGATATCACATTTTCTTTCTCAAACACAGCTGTGGGAGAATAAGCTGATGCAGTCCAAAGCTGTAGATGGATTTCATTCAGAAGAGCAGCAGCTTTTGTTGAGCAGCAGCATCACCACCACCACCATCATCATCATCCACAACCACAGCAGACTGTGCAGCAGCAATCCCAGACACAAGTCCTTATTCCTGCATCCCAGCAAGGTCAGACTGATTCTCTCTAATGAGCCTACATGAGACTCCTTTTTTTCCCAGCAGTTTGTGTGGGGGAAAAATAGATTCAGGAGAAAATGGAGACTTTTGAATTTAAGGTGTCTTAGTTGGTAGATCAAACTTTGGGTCTACTTATTTCTCTTATGTATTATTTGGGTAGTCCCATATAACTTATTTTTCCAAAACAAATGTCTTTTTTTCTCTATAATTGTCATTCCACTAGTCATTAGCATCTCTACAATAACAAGTGAATGTAATCAGAGGGGTAGCTGTGTTAGTGTGTTTCAGCAAAACCAGCAAGGAGTCCGGTGGCACTTTAAAGACTAGCACATTTGTTAGGTTTTTAAAGCATAAGGGTTTGTGGTAGCTCACTTAAGCTTATATCCTAGTGCCCTAATAAATGTGTTAGTCTTTAAAGTGCCATTGAACTCCTTGTTGTTTTTAAACTGGTTGTTTTTAAACCACTGTATGCGAGCAATTAAAAGAAAATTAGTAAGGAAAGAGTTTCATTAAGTAGGGCTAAATAAAATTTTAAAAATCATACAAAACTTCAATCTCTTAAATGACTGGGTCGAAGAAACATAATATTTTATGACACACAATCTTCTGTTGGACATGTTTTTCATATGGAACTAGTTCCACGCAACAACAACAAAAGCTGACTAGCTTGTGGCTTCAGCTGCTCACACAGTATGTAAGTTTATGGATTCAAGATGCACTGTCAAATTTACCTATATAATTAATCTTTTCAAATACAGTTATCACATTGTAGACTTTGAAGCACGGTGAGCAATAATTTTTAATGGGGGTCTACTCCAAGATCTTGATAAGTGGTCAAGGGCTGCACTTCTGTGTAGGGGGCGCAGGGTCTGGGTTGACAGGTTGGGTGTAGAAGTGAGCTTGGGATAGAGGACTAGGGTGTTGGAGGGAGTGTGAGGTCTGAGAGGGAATTTGTGTATAGGAGGGGGTTATGATCTGGGGCTGGCGTTATGGGTGCAGGAGGGGTTATGGGTGCAGGAGAGGATTCTGGCCTGGGGGAGAGGTACAGGAGGAGATGCAGGGTCTGGAAGAGAGTTGTGACCTGTGAAAAGGGAGAAAGGGGTTCAGAGGATTTGGGTGATGATGTGGGGAAGGGGTATGTGTGCAGGAAAGGATTCTGGCCTGGTGGAGAAGGGTGTAGTAGGGGGTGCAGATGCTGGGAGGCAATTGTGACCTGGAGGAGGTGGGAAGGGGGATACAGAGGGTTTGGGTGGTGGACTGGGGTAGGGAGTTGCAGGGGAAAGTGGAGTTGGGGTGCCTCTGGCTGGGAGGCAGTTACCTAGGTGGCTCCCAGCCAACAGCCCTGCAGGAACCTGAGACAGGCTCCCTGCCTGTGTGCTGGGTGGGCTGTTCTACGAGGCTTTGCTCCAGCCCAGGGAGTAGGGAGTGAGAAGGCTTCATTTGCTGCCCCGCCTTAAGAAAAAATTCTCAGCTCTTGTTGGCCAGAAACTGGCCAATGGGAACTGAGGGGTTTTGCTAAGAGTAGGGACAGCATGCGAAGCTTTCTCCTCTCTGCCCAGACTGCATAGCAATTAGCAGCTACAGCCTCTTTAAACTGCAAGCTGCTATGTAGTAAGGGTGTTGGCATCTGTGGGCCAGATCCAGCGGCTTGGCGGTCCATATCCAGCCCGTTAGCTGCCTCTTGCCTACCCCTGCTTCAAAGATTCCAAGTAAACATTTTCTAAACACTCTTGATTAAGCATTAAATAAGGGGAGCAAACATTTTCTGAATTTGAGTCCCTGTTGCATCAACAAAAACCTAACCAAATACTTATGCCTTCATGAGTTGATGAGGATTATCGACAATGTCTTATCACATGGTCATGACACAGATTAGCAGGGCTCTACAATCTATGTAATCTACTTGCCCATGGTGAGTAGATTACATCCCGGAAGAGCCGGGTTTGGGCGATCTGCGCATGCGCAGAACGATCTGCACATGTGCAGAACGCCGGACAGTGTGGCTGGTGAGCAGGGCTCGCCATGGCTTGGCGAGCCCTGCAGATTAAAATTATTTATTTGTATTTTGTCAATTCTCAGGAACTCTAGTCATGCACCAGGATTCGACTATGATAAATGCTATGCAAATGCAGAACAAAAAATGACCCATGTCTCCAAAGAACTTACAACATAAAATATGAAATCCATGCACCTTTTTATATCTGCATCCCTGTATCTTGAGTTCATTAGAAGATGATTCTGCTTTGCATAGCATAGTCCTGGGGACAAAACAAAGCTGGATGATAACTTACATATCATGATGAATTTGTTGCTTGTAACCATCTCTTTAGTTTTGCTGTTTCCGGTTCTTTCTGTTGCCCAAAACTCTGTTTTCAGATTCTACGTCATCACAGACTTATGCCAATTTTATTCTGCTCAGAGAATGTTGGGATAGTGTGCCTATTCTCATGTTCCTTGAAATTTTCATGACCATATAATTTTATTTAAATATCTAAAGCAAGATTTGGTTTAAGAAGCAGTGTAGAGCCGAGAAGATAAAGGAAGATGCTTCGATAAAACCACTGTGGATCCAGTTAGGACTGCCATGACACCCTCCAGGGATTCTAGTGTGGGTCCTCACTACAGTAGAAACATACATATATGTGGGCTGCTGCCATTTCAGTGTATAGAGCAAGTGATACACCACATACTTTGAATTGTTACTCCTTTACCCCCTTTCTATTCAATGATAAGATAAATAGTAACTTACTTTGTCTAGATCAGGGGTCTCCAACCTTTATAAGCACAAGATTACTTTTTTAATTTGTCAGTCCAGGCTCTCTTTCTCTCAAACCCAAATACCTCGGCCCTGCCCATCTCACTCTGTGAAGATGTGATACAGGGGAGGGGGACAGAGTGACATCAGTGCCCCCTGCCCCTCTCTCTCCTCTGCACAACAAGCAGGAAGGAGGCTCCCCGGGGCCAGCTCTGAGGCTCTGGACAGGAGCAGTAGGGTAGTGAGGGGAGGTGCGGCTGAAGTGCAGGCATTTGATAGCCTCCCAGCCAAACCAGTCAGGATCACCTGTTATAGGCTCCAAGATCTATTGGTAGATCCTGATCTACTGGTTGGTGACGATTGGTCTAGATCATACTGAATTGATGCTTTGTTTCTTTTGTTTGTAGCACCTCAGCAGCAGGTTATTGTGCCAGATTCAAAGCTGATACAGCACATGAATGCATCAGGCATGGTAAGACTCGATTAGAATTTGTGCAATGCTGTAATTTATGTAAATAGTGAAGATAAAAATCTGATCTGAGTCTTTCAGATTCATGATGGTTAGGTCCATCAATGGCTATTAGACAGGATGGGTAAGAATGGTGTCCCTAGCCTCTGTTTATCTGGAAATGGATGGCAGGAGAGGGGAACATGTGATTGATTACCTTTTGTGTTCCCTCTCTCTGGGGCATCTATATGGGTCACTGTTGGCAGACAGGATACTGGGATAGATGGACCTTTGGTCTGGCCCAGTATGGCTGTTCTTATCTCAATGCCTAAAAAAACAAGAGGTACTAGCACAAGATGGCTGCTGTCTCACTAATTGCTGAGCTGACAACACATCAGCTATTTATCCAGGGTTTGCTTTTATCAACAGATCTAGAACTTAGTCTGATCCTCTATGTAAATGTCAGACTAGTGATATTCAGATCTCAGTGGTTCAGGAGCCAAACTAGCAATCAACATTACCCCAGAGAGCCACAGTAATGTAAATTCATTCTTTTTTTACTGTTGTGCTATGTATTCATTCAGGCAGTCCCCAGGTTACGTACAAGATAGGGACTGTAGGTTTGTTCTTAAGTTGAATCTGTATGTAAGTCGGAACTGGCGTCAGCCGCTGCTGAAA